CTCTCTCTCTCTCTCTCTCCCTACCTACCTACTCTCTCGCTCTCTCCCTACCCACCATATTCTCTCTCTTTCTCTCTCTCTCTATCCTTCTATCTACCTATTTACTGTTTTTTAAATTTTTCTTCTTCAAAACCTTGGTGCGCCTTATACTCCGGTGTGTCTTATACTCTGAGAAATATGGTACATATTTTGCCCTGAAGATTTGAAGTATATTTGCCTGCAACTATTAAGACAACGGAAGGGAAACCTCCATAGGAAAGGCACTGAAAGAATTAGATGAACACATCAGTCAGGCAAAATAGCAATTCATAAATAGCCTTACACACAATCCATTCTGGAAATGCAATTGAATTGGTTACTATAGTACAAATAATTGAAATCAGATTTGCATGAGAAACAAGCAAAAACCAAGGCTTCTAGGGCAGTGGTGACAATTATGCCAACAATCCATAATTGCTTAGTTTTTATCCTATCAAATGTGTCTGTGTGTGTGTGCGTCTGTGCGTGTGTGTGTGTGTGTGTGTGTGTGTATTGTTTGAAATATGGGGTTTAACTATTGTGGATTCAGGAAGGAATGACATCCTCATGCAATAGAGCAGGTTACATGTAATAGGTTTATAGCTGAATCTTAACCCAGAATGTCTCATTCTCTGTTAACTCTGCACAAAACAGAATTTCAGGTGGTATATCTGACTGGGTTGATGTAATATGGTATTACCCACTAGGCCAGATGTGCAATCAGTCATAGTGATGGATTCAAGAACATTCCCAAACATCCTCAAGAACAGATTAAGAATTACTCAGTGGATACCATCTCTTTCTTTTCAGGATTGAGCTTCAATTGATTGGCCCTTGTTCAAATTATTACCCTCCTCAAACTTTAAATCAAGTTTAAGATAAAAATGAGAAATAATTCTAGATGTCATCTGAACACTCAAGACAGTTCAGCCCAAATCTAGAAATAAGTTCTACAGTTACCATATGGTTGTTAAAGAGCACAGGGAATAAATAAAAACACCCACAAACTTCATGAAACAACTGCAGTGGAAAACAATTGCAAATGTTTTCTTTGAATGGGAAAAAAACAGCCTCTTTGACAGTTAGCCTCATCACCAGATTATGAGTATTTTTAGACTCAATGCTTGAAGATCTTAAAAGTTCTGTGAGAGAACAGAGCTTTTGAGAAAGGAGAAAAAAGAAAGAGAAGGGAGACAGCAAACTGAATGTCAAAAGAAACTGCTGCTGGACTTCAAAGAGGCCTAGTTGTGACATTGCTCACTTCCCTAGCAGGGAACTGAGATGTTCCATCAAAGAATAATGCCAGATGGAAAGAAAGGGAGCTGTCCAAAAAAGCGAGGGCTGTCTATACTACCTCAGCTGAAGCTGGTATTCCAGACTTCCCTTTTGAGGGAAAAAAGTAAAAGGACATAAACTGCTACCTCTAAGATGACTTATGTTTTTAATTGGACATTTTGTTTTAATTTAATAATTTGACAGACTGAAGCTCCAGAGGAGATTGCATTTATTTTGAATACATTTGTTTTTCCCTTGTCTCTGAGAGCTTAAAAAAGGCAAGTATGAATAAATTGAATAAATAAATAAAACTCCCTACTTTTTTGATGTGTCCAGCATTTGTAACTGCTTGTTTGGCTTCTACCTCTTTGTATAAACGATTAAAATGTTTTTAAAAACTGTATCAACTTTTGTACACCAAGCTATCATTATCAGTGGAATCCAATTTACTTTTTTTTTTTAAAAAAAAAATTACATTTTATTCAAAAGTACTAAAGCACCAAAATATTTAATTATATGCAACATCAGCTATTGTGTGGTAAGCAGGGTTGTTTTGTTCACAACATTGTATTAATCTACTTTTTTCTAGGCACAACTTGCTGTTCTTTAAGGGAGTAACTAAATAGATTCATAGAAATATTATTATGTCAGAATCAAATAAATGATGCATGTATGTTCAGGTAATATTAGAGGGACACACCACTGTGGTATTTTTCTCTGCCCAGCTTTAATCAACACTATTTTTTGAATATACTAACTTAAAGGTATACATGGTACGATATCTTTATTAATTAAAGAGTGAAAAGAAACTATATGTAACTCTGGGTTTAACTGTGGAGTTCTTGACACTGTCTGAATTTAGTTGCTTGTTTGCAGGCATCTCATTACCCAACTAGATAACATCATGATAAGAAAAGCACTAATGGATCTGGAGGAAAACATGAAAACACTAATGAGACAAAAATCATATCTTA